ACTTTGCTTCTGGCAGCATTTGCAAAATCTTTGCTTTGTATGAGTTCATGTTCAGTGATTAGTCTTAGACTGCTATTCATGTTGCTTCAGTTTCGCTTATTTATTTATTCAAACTGAAAAACTATTATTATTAACAATAATTATTGTACTCTGAAGACGGACCGAGCTTGGTCCGAAACGTCAGATGTCCCTAATTAAAGACTATTGTCTTCCCGTTTATGACTTACCTAAAGATTATATCACCTCCCGCATAAAGAAATCACGTACGATTTTCAACAATAATTATTATTAATTATGAACATATATTATCCGTTATAATTCAGGTATTATCAGTTATTTATCGTTCTGTGTATAAGCTGTTTTATGTGTGGCGGAAGTTAAATTTCAGTGACATGAAAAAAGTTGTAATGCGTAAACTTTCCAGTTTCATTTGTACCATGGCTGCAGTCAAGCCTACGTCGGTTAGTAAAGCAGAGTTGTATTCTTATGTCACAGAGGGTCACCACAAACGTGTTCTATAATCTGAAGCATCTAAAAAGAAAGGCAGTGAAAATAAGGAACAAATTGCTTTATCCAGTGACAAGGATAAAAATTCTAAGGTAAACCCTTAGGCAAATCGTACCGCCAAAAGTGGCGGAGCATAACTATTCTGCACACTCATTTTTCTTGCTGGATTAATGTTATTGCATGCTTCCTCCATTTCTACTTTATCTTCTAGTTCTCTTCTTGCAGTTCTTCTACCTTTTATTCGTCCTGTTCTGCAGATTTTTTATCTTATTGTTCTTGTTATTTTTTATTTCCCCCATTATTCATCATGTTCTTTTGTTTTTCTTTTCTTTATGTATTTCTTCATGTTCCTATTTTTGGTGTTCTTCCTCTTAATTTTTATATCATTTTCTTGTTCTTTGCTTCCTTTTTTTATTCCTGCTTGATTCAGGTTTCTGTATGGGATTCCTAATTTCTCCGTCTGTTTTGAATAGCACCTATGTCGTATTTTCATGTTAACTCGTAGACCCGGCTTCGAAAATCTTTTCCAGTAACTAATAAATTAAATTTATTTCTGCAAACGGATGTCATTAGCGTATGAAGATAATTGGATGATTGTGAATAATAGTTTTACTGTAGATATGTTTAATTGCTTCGATTTTAGCAGGGTACCTTCATGGTGTGACCGCATTCTGTGGCTGGTAGAAGACATATCTGGCTTGTTTTCGAAGCAGCTTGAATGCCAGCTGTTGAACTATAACAGTGACGATCGCTTTACGGCCAGCGACCACAAACCGGTCTTGGCTGATTTCAAAATTCAGGTAGGTAGACACTACTCACACAGTAATTGCCATGTAATTCCTTATACCGGAATCATGGTTAAATCATAAAATTGATCGATATCAGTCGCCGTGTTCTCTTGCTCGTTCTCTCTAGGATTGTCAGAATGCTGAGAACCAGTCGTTGTTTTGTTCAAATTTTTGAAGAATCTCATTTGTTGCGTTACTGTTGTTGTGCTACTTGTAGATCATTTTTTAATCAATTTTGTTTCCAGATCTGTGGCCTCATTTCCACGCCCGTAGTCGTTTTTTTGTTCCCTAGTCAGAAAAACAACACGCTCTGGCACTGCGGACAGAACAACCTTTGTCGGTATTTCGTTTCCAGTGATTACACTCCCTCATTCTTCGACTGGATCGGTGTCTTTAAGGTAAACCTTTGTTGGAATTGCTCTCATAAGCCGCTGTTAATGTCTCCCTATGGAGAATGGACAGTAATCAAACAGTCAGAGTGAAATACGATGAAGTGTTGTTTACTCGTTAGCCCTTACGGTGGCTGTGACGGCATGTCATCGCCTTTGAAACGCTCGGGTATGTCGAGTCAGTGAGCTCGGGTATGCCGAGCTGAGTCAGTGCCTCATTATGCCCCTTAAGGCAGTCCTCTAGTGAAAGAACACTTCGACTACGAACTTGGACGGATGGGTTAGAGAGATGGTCACTGTCCGTCTTAATCCAGAACAAAACATGCAATAAATTTCGTGTCGTTTGCCTTTTGAGTGGATAGTAGCTGCTAATGACAAAACTGATAGATGATCGAATGACGCATTGTTTGATGGGCGATTTCAGGAAATTGGAAAAAATATTCTTCTTTGGCTAGTATATAAAATTATTCAAGTCTGCCTTTATGAAGTGATCAACCTAATGAAGACAGTCATAATCGCAATACTTCTTTGTAATCTCTATTAACCTCAAAGTTCATGAAGCTTGTCTTATCAGCTTCCAGTGGGGTTGTCTGCGGAGTGAAAAGACGATAATTATGCAACTGAGTCACGAACAGTCTAATGCTGACCATTACTTGTCTGAGAACTCTTCAAGTTGAAAAACCTGACTTAATTGGAAATCGATAGTGCAGATCTGTTGAAACATTTTCTTTCGTGGGAACGTCCTTTGACTCTGGAGTAAATAATGGGTATCACATCACCCATGCCATTACAGTAATTTGTGCGCAGTGTTATTCCATTTCAGTGGTATGAGGCATGACTGATCTAAAATCTGGACCACATTTCTGTTCAGGCTTGTTATCGTTTGATGACGAGGGCAGCAGCATCTTGAATGACTTACAACCACGGAAACATAATTAAGTATTATTAAGTAATTCTGGGGATAACAACTCTCTAGGCTCGGTTTACAAATTACTGTACAACTACTCCAAATATTTCATGGAAGAAATAAGGAACACCGTCTTTCAGAGAACAAAGACCTACCTGTAAAGCTGGACGCGTGATTGCGGACCAACGTGAGTAACATGTGGTAATAAAGCATCTAGATAAGTGAGAAAATAAATCCTCGCTTCTAATCAGATCAAAGAACAATGCAAAAAGACCTCTGGAATTGTGTAGCATTCAGCAGAGAAAGGTCATCATCGAAGAAAGAACCTGGCTGAACGGTCGCGTCAGAGTGGAATTAATTTTTCAGCCGTGTGACAGTGTCAACCGCGACAACGGATTTGAACTTTGCACCAGCTGTAGATAATCCTTGTCGTGCCTGTTGCCAGAAAGCTACTTGACTGGCAGCGCAGACCAAAGGCTTCCCTTTTGTCTGAATGTGTTACAACAGCCGCGAACCATAGATCTTTGGAAACCAACCCTGTCCACATTGAAGAAGGCTTGTTAAGCTGGATAAGATGCATGGTGAAGGACGAGCGTAGGCGAGAGGTATGATGAAGTACTCGGAAAGAAACAGTTTCGCCCACAACAAAGTCAATAAAACAGTACGTAAGGACTTCCAGGATTTTGCAGAAAGTGACACAGCAGTGGCACGCACCCTAATAATCAGAGTATGGCGGCACCATCAAAGAAAGATTCTGACTGAAAAAGCGTGTCAATGACACACTAATTGTCCAGTCCTGCGAGGGACCAAACGTCAGCGGTGACAAAGGATACCAACTCTATGCGGGTTGGATGAGCCCTGTCACCCCTGTCGGCCAGAAATTATGTAATCAGCGGCATGGACCTGCGGAAAGCTTACTTTCTGGTTCCAAACTTACCAACCGATGCGTACAACAAGAGAAACTTCAGAAACTCTACAAAACCAAAAAATAACAAAGCTTGAGATATAAGTCAGATGATTGACCATATTATTTTCTTGCGTTATTTATTAAGCGATTTTTTTCGAGATTCACTGTAATCTGCTTAAAGCAATTGCAGATTACGTTAGCATACCTGTTAGTTCACTATGTAACTGTCCGCTTTCAAAACAAAGTATCATCCAATATTTTGAGTATTGACTTGCACTTGATTGCTATGGACTCTCTGTAGTGTGCTGTACAATTTCAGCAGCGTTTCGTCTCTGATCAAGATGTTGTTACCTGGATGTACGTGATTTCGTCCTGGCCGGACGATGAAGAACACCTTGGCGGATCTGTGCAGAATCTTCTTTTCAAGTCTCTTTCTTTACCTGAACCTGGGTCATATCTACTCGGTTACTACAGCCGCTCGAGATGTTGTTTAATGGCATTATCCGAACCGTTTCAAGTATGACCCTGTACTGCATCTTTCGTGTTTTTATAAAATGATTTTAGGTTTTGGATCCGGAAGAAATCACAAACGAACCTGAAGTCATGCC